GGATTCACGGAGCCAATTTATATCAAATATATAGCATTTAAAGTAAGCCGTTACAGATGCCTTTCCTCTCATGAATACTGACCTGAACCCATGCAGTGCTGATCTTTTATAACTCCCTAATTTGCATTTTTCTGCTTTGGGTCTTTTTTGAACATGTGGTCCTAAGGGGCCAGTCCCAACATATTGGAATATGATCAATGTTGACAGGACTAGCCTTTGGTTGGGTTAAAGTACAATGCATTCTCCTCTCTCTCTCCAGCTCTTTCCTTTCATTATTCTGACCAAATAGGCGTATGAACTCTTTGAACTGCTCGGCTGAGAGTACACAAAAACCATCTAACTTACTGGAACTGACCGATAGAGATAAACTGAAGAGGAAAGAGGAAGAAAAGTAATGAGGGGGTGGAATACACTGTTCCGTTCAAAAAGCCATCTTTCTTATTTGGTAAAGTACTCGAACTTTAGCTCCTACTTTATCTAAAAGCTTCCACTTACTGTATCTACTCATCTTAATAAGAGAGCGCGGTGTAAGAGGAGGTGGGAAGGGTAATCAAGGTCGGACGGACGTGTGCTGCCTCTCTGCGGCACGCTCCTCACAGCTGGGTAGGGTCAACGGTCGCAAACACTGATTGGCTGATGATTAATACTTCTACTATCAACAGTGAGTAAAGTCATCTGCGGCACATTGAGTCCAAATGGCTGTCATTTTCTGTGAGGATAAGAATGACATTTGGTAAATGTAAGAGTTGCTTTATTGCTGGGAATTGATAAGACAGAATGAGTCTCTGTTTCCCGTTATAATTTAATTAGACACATCTCTATTCCAGAAAGTTGTACGATTATTCTATTTATTTTAAAACTGAGACACACAAATCTGCACGCACATAATGGGCCTGCCTGACACATAGGCCTCATTAATGTTGCATGTGTATATGTGCACACACTTATGGAGTTTAATCACATGGTGCTAAATAGTGAATGTTATCGGAACACATTATCATGGCAGGCAGTTGAAGGTTAATTCCAGGATCATTTATATAAGATTGGTGAAGAGGTTGACACTGATAACCTGGTCAGAGGCACCTTGCTATGCAAATGACTCCCTTCCACAGAATAGGTAGCAGCGTACGCTTCTCACGAACGCGCGCCAAGAAGCAAAGACTCACTTCTTCATAAAGGGAGTGTCCAAGGCGGAAAGGAGGAGAGAACAGAGAGGAAGAATGTGTCATTTGGCTCCAGGTGATAAAAGAGTGTGGCAGTCCGCCATTAGACTTTCTGTAATGGAATGCTGGTTACTTATTTAAACAACGTGACTTTGATCCTCAGATTTTCGCATACATACTGTTTGTGCAGGGTTTAGGAAACATTAAAGCAAAGCAAATCAACTACTGTACATCTGACAGTATGACATTCAAAATGTGATCACTGAGAGCTTCATGATTGCATTTATTTGATAGAAATGGGATAAGAATATTTGGGACATTTGAACATTGTAAAAGTAAATTGTTATTGTCTACATATTTTTCAAATAAAAGTTTTTCGGGGTACACGAGCAAAAAGAAACTAATATAGTTCAAGTTATAGTACTTTTAGGGCCTTTAAGTGTTGGTGGATGGGTCTTTTTTTTGTTACACATCAGCATTTAAATTGCTACCATGCACAAGGGATTGCAAAGGGAAATCAATGCATGCATGTAAACCAGCACTAATCAAATCAATTTTTATTTATAAAGCACATTTAAAAGTGATTTTTGGTCGAGCCAAAGTGCTGTACATGTAATAAAAACACATTACTACAATCACAATAAAAGACAATAAATTACAACAGATATAATTACACAGGGATTAGTCAGGTGTCATACTCCGCTCTGACTAGAAGGCAGGGAGAAGGGACTAATGTTTTACAAATACAAGCAAAATTGCTGAATTCAGTAATAGTTTAAGTATAGTGTGTTTATTAAAAAAATGTACCCAAGCAGCAAAAGTAAATGCAGGTAGAATGACACATATTGTTCATTTGCAATATTGTCACTTCAACACTTTTGATCCTGTTTGTGTAGTATTTATTTTTTCTAGAGTCCAACCTTACAGTGCTAGATTCATATTACCCTCCTTTGTAGAAGTGATACAAAGGAAATAAACCAGCATCTAGTCCAGATGTATATTGTGTCTTGCTGATATCAGCCCTAATGTTTAATGTTAACCCTCCTAATGCAAATCAGATCTGTATTACATTATTGCTAATGCTATCCAATCATAGTCAGGGTTGTTTTTTATTGTGAAGCAGTCACGCCATATATTTATCACTGAGGTTACTGCTAGAAATGACTCCGCAAATGCGACATTTGTGATAAAAGTAGCGGCTCAAGGACTGTTTCTGTTTAGTTAAACATCAGATGTTGTCCCTGCAGCACGGAGAGGAATCACCCTGACTTCCTGGTGCCATAATGACGTTCAACAAACTGAGCGTCAATGCGCAGAGGGACGCAGGGGAGGCTGTTTATTGTACTTTTGAGAAAGGACCCCTTCATTAAAGTCAATGTGTTTTTACGCATGTGTATGTAGTCAGCACAATCTGGGATACACTCGCTCACCCTTGCACTGTAACCTTGCCCACTGGAGTGCACACACACTCTTGAGTCAGCAGAAATGGGAGCTTGGTGACACCGTTAATGAACCCATGTGTTTTTCTTCAATTAAACTATGGACGGGTACCGAGCCAAGGGACTCCTCTGGTTACCTGACAGCCGAATCCGTCTCTTCCTAAATGTTCTCTTTATTTATCACTCCCTTTAACTCTCTGCATTCTTGCTCCATCATGCCTCAAGTCTCTCCGCTCTTAAGTTTCATTGTCTCTCTTTTTCCCCCATCTTGTACTCACAGTAGGGTATGAGTTCTAGCAAGCACTCCTAATACGTCCGGCACATAGCTGCCAACTTATGTCATTACATACTTATCAGCTCTTTCCACTTCCTAGGTGTCTATCAATCTGTCAGTAAGTTGGAATAGAAACTACATTTGTAGTCCGCTGCAGTGGCCTGTCAGTCCAGCAGAGGGCATCACTATGATATATCATCTCAAAGAGCATCAGTGAGATGTCCTAGAAAGAAATTGAACGTCAAATGGATTAAACTATTTGTTTTAGACAATGCCCTTGTACATTTCAAACACACATCAAGTGCTGTTTATTTGTTGGTTGTTTTTTAGTTAAACTTTAACCTAAATCCGACTAAGAAGGTTAGTCTTTAAACCCATTTCACTTCATGTTATTGTTTCAGTTTATGCCTCAAAAAAGTGGATTTAAATGTACATGGCTTTTAACCAACAACAAGCAGAGGCAAGGCAAGTTTATTTATATAGCATCTTTCAACACTTAAGGCAATTCAAGGTGCTAACAGAGGGAAGAAAACACAATAACATACCCCCTTAATATTTAAGTAATTCAATATCCAAGTTTGTATACCTTTTTAGATACTTTTACTTTATAATTATTTATTAGTGTTACTACTTCTCAGAGTTTAAATACAACATGCATGATTGAATTATAAAAAAGACAAATAGACTGAACTTTATTATCTTCATGTCAACCAGCTCCATAAAGTAAGCTACTGTGTGTTAATGCCTCAATACTAATATGATCTAATAACGTATAACAGGAATATAACATTGACATGGGCCATTCTGCATAGTGACTTATTTAGTTGTTGATACATGTTTATACATTTAGTGCTGATATCACTTTTACTAAAGTGAGGACTTATTTTCATTCATTCACCCAATGTTGGACACAGGCTGTGTATAGGTTATTAATAGCATCATCTCCATCATTGTCGTTCTTATTAACAGCGTTACAATAATGATAAAGAGTCCCATGCTTTATCGATCAGCAGTATCTCTCTTTCCTCTCTAGGCTACTTGCCGCATGTTTAAGCTGTTGCTTAAAGAAGAAGAAAAAGGAAGAGCTCCGGTCAGGTGTCTTCTCCCGATCTCCCTGAGTAAAGTGAAAGGAAATACGTCATGACGCGCACATTCGCTTTTTCCGCGAGTGTGTGCGCGACGGTAGCTCGCGGACTGCAACGTTGCGAAGCGCACGCACACACAGGGACGTATAACCTACGTGTCCCGGCACACACGCTCTCCCATTACTGGCAAGTTGGCTTTCATATTTGGAGCACAACCACGAGCAGCCACAAGACTGGAAAATATGTGACATAAACCAGGGCAACTGGAAACTAAAAGCTGTCTCACCTTTTCTTAGCCAGAGAATATATAGATTACATTTTACCCTTTTTTGTATCATTTTATATTAGTCATCGCGAGGGAAATAGATTTGTTTGCAAAAATGCACAAGGGGATATCCAAGGTCATATACTGGCTATAGTTTATGTGGGCATAACATGTGTTCAACCGTAATTTTAACATAATAATTGTTTTATTGTTGCTCTTTTTCTGTGGTATTTGTTGTTATATTGTTACTGTGCCACTCTCAGTGCCTATGAATTGTCCCTGGGAACAAATAAAGTGTTTTGATTTCAAATGAATGAGGTCGTAAATATGAAATAAGAATACTAACTTGCAACAGCAAGGTGGTCTGTATAGAACTATAAAGTGTAACAATAAAAGTATAGTGTTCCATGTGATAAGATTGTGCATGTCTGATGACATTTCAAAGCTGTGCAAAAATATTCAGCCTGTAGCCTACACGACATGACGAGATGAAATATATATTCGGGGGGACATTTCATCACAATCACAATATCATGATGCCTTCCAATGAAATCAAGTAAAAATAGACTGGAGCTTCTGAGCTCAGCTTTTAATAGATTTCTGGAGATCACATGAGTGAGTAGATGTTTAATAGGAGAAACTTTTGAATAAGACTTCAGAAGAGCGCGCAGCAGTGCTGTGTATCGGCCCATAGAGGACACACCTCTACTGCTCTAATGATCCACCAATCCACGTTCCCGGACCGGGGGTGCTAACCACACACACACATCCACAGTATGGAAAGAGCGAGACAGAGGTGGACACGGTCTGTCTTAACGCAGAGAGCCGACCTGCTTAGTGCGCAGTGACAGAGGAATACAAAAACCCATAGCAAATAGACAAAGTTTTGTGTGACCAGTCCCCCTCCGCGCGGTTTTCTTTTTCCCTTGAACGCCATCCAGCTGGTCCATGGGTTCAAGTTGCACATAGGACTTGCGCTTACAAGTTTCCAATGTACAGATACTTGGAGACGACTGGAGAATCGAGCATGGGATTATTTTTGTAATGTGGATTGCTATTCCTTTGCAAGAAGATAAAGGTCTGCTGCGGAACAATGTGAGACGTTTTGCGTCTAGGATTCTCGTGTTTCTGGATATCTTGAAAATCATTGGCAACAGTTGAGATTGAAGAAGTTATGCGCAAAGGATTGTATGCTCCGACCCCGGGACCAACATGGATTTGCCATTACAACCCCCTGCCCCTTATTTAGAGAAGTTCTAGCCGGTCCACTTGTTTTGTTGTTGTTGTTGTTATTATTGCAAACTTCATGCTTGAGGACAAATCGCCACATTGGCCTCTTGGATTTTAAACGTCGCCTGCCTTTGGATTGGATTTCAAACACGATGAACTTTATTGACAGTTTGACTCTATTATTTTTGACGCTGTCAGCTGTCAAGGTGAGTGTGTCTCAGAGAGCAAACTGGACCAAAAAGAAAGAAAGAAAGAAACACACCAACCGACCTCTATTTGCGTCATGTAGCCATTGGTCATTAATGTGTAGCTCGTCCTTGCCTTTCCTCTGGCTAGGTCATCGCTCGTGTTTAAACAAATCGAACTGTTTAGTGGCTTTGGGGAGATTTAAACAGCCATTACGCAAAGCCAACACTGTATACACCTTACCCACACACTGGTGGGGGTGAGTTTCTTTTCAAATGCGGCATATGTGATGATTTTTTAATAATGTTGTGAAGTTTGACGCGGTGTGATTGCAGGCCTGCTGTAAAACCACCGTGGAGATATTATTACGCTTTAAAGGCGCAGTGGCTCCATTCTGAATTAGGACATTTGCAGGTTCACTCCTGGCACTGAGGCTACTCTCACGGTTCCCCCCTCTCTAATAAGATCACATCCTACTTTCCATACTGCCATTAAGGCTATCACTTAGTTCTAGGACAAAACAGACATTACTTCACGGATTAATCCGGTTGACGCAAGTGCGCACTGTAAATCGTTTTTCCATATAATCATTAATCAAGTTCAGTGTGTTCACTGAGGCATTGAGCAAAGGTTTCCCGGTGAAAAAAAAAGAACAGCTCTGCAATAGGAGGCTGCCTTTTTTTCAGCAATATGATTGGACTTTGGGGGATTCTTTTGCCACCTAAGAAACCAATGATGTTTTAGATTGTAATGTAGTACTTTCTCAAGCATCTCACTTCCAAGTTAATGAACTATTCCCCCTCCAGAGTCCAGCAAAGTGTTTATTTATCTAACTGGCTGATTTGATGACAGCTAAACCCCCACCGCCCACTCAACGCTGAATGGTATCAGGATGCTGTCTCAACTGCTCATTCCCAGTCGGCCTATCGGGTTAGGGGCCGGTGTTCGCAGCTTGACACCCTTCAATTGATAATAACGTATATAGTGTGTTGTATGGCTTGGGTCTCTCAGCCCACAATGTTAAATCCTCTCAGGCCACCAGAAGGGGGTGCAGACTGCGGCACCCACTAAGCCGAGACGCTTTTTAAACGTTTCATTAAGGAATGCCTGAATTGGTGCTACAGGACTGGGTCTCATGCAATACTGACGTGGTGTTGCGATAGTTGCCCGCGCCTGTATGCGAGAGGGAAAGAGAGGGAGAGTACAAGGAGCGCGGTTGTGCGCGTGCGTAAAAGCGAGAGAAAAGTTGTGCGTAAGGGCGCGCGCAGTTGGAAAGTTGCCAAAACCTTTTGTGGTCCGACTGGTGTGGTGACATGTACCCCCTGTGAGGGAAAGTAGCAGGATACAATTCTTACCGTTTTTAATGACGAGTTATTAATCCGAGTTGCCAAGAGGCGTCCGAGGCACACATTAAAAGGTCTGATAACTTAAACAAAAGACAACAGAAAGTAATTTAACAGTTTATGAAGTTGTTTCACGCAGCAGATGTAGTAGAATTTTGAGGAAGCTTGTTTGGCACGTTGTACCTCTGGTAAAATAGTTGGCCATACAAGGCCTTAGACACCACACACAGAGAGATTATATGACAATTATCATACAAGCAGAATAATAATAACATAGGAATATATTGCCAGATGTGATAGGGGATCCGAGTTAAAAAAACCAGTATAAACAATCACCTTGTATTGCTCCTGTATTGTGTACTTCCTCATTGTCTGGTAAGAGTCAACAGAATTACATTCATTTTTTTGGCTGACTTTGGATAAGTAAAGGGCATGGGTGGCATTTTTCTGAGCTCTTGCACAATATACTGTAACTAACAACGTGCCTTTCCCCCCCTTCTTTGCAGAGCGCCCACATACCGAAGGAACCAGAAAGAGGTCCACATGCCGGTAGGTGTCCCACAGGGCACCGTGGGAATACAGGCTGCTCTGGGCTCCCTGGCTGGAACACAGCCAAATAAAAAAAGGGCTGGTTTGAGGTTCACCTTGAAATTAAAAAGGCACATTTCGCCTCCTGGTGGACAACTGCTTAGTTTCACTTTAAAGATGTATCCACTCATACTCCCCCCCTTAAGTTATTGAGAGCAGTTTCACCCTGACATTTCAACTCTTGGACGTTTTTCATACAGCATTCTTCCACGTTTGAGGTTAAGCTGAGGAAATATTATGGTGACTCTTTTTAGAAAGGAATTTCTCCCTCTTGGCCCACAATTTCATTTTTGCACAATTCCAGTATTGCCCAACATCATTTGGAGAATCTGAAGCTAAACTTCATGATATTGTTTTAGGCTCTGGGTGATATTTTGGAGGTGTTGTCTGACTGTGTGCTAATATCTTTCTCAAGAGCATATCTCCTGCAAAGACTGAAAGTAGACTGAAGGGGAAAAACTATTTTCTTTTAAAACGGGCTCTCTTAAGTCACTGATGCAGTGTCCTTATGCAGGGTCCTAATAGATAAATAGATTTAGTCGAAATTGCATAAATGTGTGTTTTGAAAAAGTTCAATGGAACAAGAGAACGTTTTCTCCGTCCAAGTGACTTCCTTTAGCGTGCCAGCTGTTTTAATTCATGCTCCTTTTAGTAGTGTTATTGTTACAGCTCTGTAGTATTCAAGAGTCAGTGGTTTATACTGAAGCTCCCTGCCATTTTATAACCCTCGTACTCTGTCTCCCCAGTGATCCCTTTAATGGAGGTGTACAACAAGAGTTTGTGTAAGCCTCGAGAGCTGCTGGTGGAGATTATGCAGGAGTATCCGGAGGAGGTGGAGCACATCTTCATCCCGTCGTGTGTGGTGTTGACGCGCTGCGCCGGCTGCTGCAACGACGAGATGATGCAGTGTATGCCAACGTCCAGCTATAACGTCACAATGGAGGTCAGCATAATTGTTTATTACGACAACATTACTTTGAGTGTTTTGTGCATTAGGGTTCACAGTGGTGGGAGTGACGGAGGGTCATTTTTGCCTTTTTAAAGCCTTGTTTCTCAAGTATGGTCACATTGATACCTAAAATGTCAGCCCATAACCCTAAGAGCCCTTGCATTTTGCTCAAAGACTGATCAAGTGTAACATTATTATTTTTTAAATAGTGAATATCTTCTTTGAACTTGCGTCTCTTGTTTACAGTGTCTCTAAACTCCAAGTTTCCAAACTAAAGATTGCACATTTTAACCAGAATGTTCTGGAAAACCAGCAAAGAGAATGCAGGAACATTGAGATGAACAGTTTGTAGAGCTAATCTGAGTCAGGTGCAAGTTAACAACTGCAGAACAAGACATGATGATGTTATTAAATGGCCGTTAGTCAAACCGTGAACCATTCAAAACAATGTGGAAATGTTTTAGGAACATGGTTCTTCCTTGGACTGTGAGGAACTTAACAGTCCCCCCATGTCTTCAGATCAGCTTGAGCATTTATGATAGTAAACCTTTAACTTAATACATGTAGATCATTTTTCTCTTAGGTTTATATGTGAACACCTGACACTTTGTGTGACATTTTGCTAACAATAACAAGTAGTTTAGGATAACTGTCGAATTGTTGTATATTTCATTCATATCTGACTTCTCTTTCTTCTTTTTTCTTTTACAGATAAAAAGAATAAAACCACAAAGGCAACAAAATGATATTTTCATGAGTTTCACAGAACACAGCGCATGTGAGTGTAGGTAAGAAACCCTGAACACACACAGAAACTCACACAATGTGAAGGAAAGACTTACAGCTGCACATTTGTGTGGCAGAGCAGAGGTCAACCAAACACGTCATGTGACGTTATTGTCTTCTGTTTGCCTCTGACACATCGAGCAAATGCCTGTCAGGTGGATTCATATCTTATCTCTGCTTCTTTTACTTCACTGGTCTTAAAAACACCTGAGCAAGGCAGTCGTCATAACAAACTTACACAAGTCCAAGTCAAGTCTAAGACCAAGCCGGTTGAGTCAAGACCAACTCCAAAGGCAGTTGAGACCAAGTCAAGACTGAGTCCAGAAAGAAATGGAGTCCTTATAGGCAATAGTGTCTTTCCAAAGCTAGTTCTCTGATCTCCTGCATACAGAGTTTGGACAAAAGCTAATTCAGTAAATCATGAAAAATACAAAACTTCTTCTAACCCAGGTTTAAATGGCAAAGTTAAAGGTAGATTACTGGCACATAATACTCCATAATGTTTTGTTCCGCTTTAAACCTGACACCAAAACAAAGTCCAAAAAGGAACAAGTCCAAGACAAGTGCAAGAATTCCAAAGAAGCGGTCTCAAGACCCAGAATGGACTCAATGACTACAGAGCAAGTCGGACCGCATCATAGCACCACATCTTTCTGTTTGAGTTTATCTTCATTCCATCACATTGCTCAACTCAAGGAGATACATTTCTGGGAGTACAGTTCTCTGGCATGTAGAGGTATGCTTGGAAAAAACGTAGCTATGACAGCTGTCATTGATTTTTGAGATAAGTACTCCTTGTGTCTTTTCTGTAGCCTCCAGTCAAACAAAGGTGACTGGTAAGACTTAAGGTAGAATGATGTATGCCTTTTATGGATGAACTTCTTATTCATTCTTTTGTTTAGATGGGCAGTTTATATAATCTTGGAGATAAGTACTAACTAAAAGTGGAACGGTCTATGTATTGGTAACATCTTCATGGGGTTTAAGTTCGACTGGCATAACATAATTAGATGCTTACTTAAAGTGAAACAAAGAAATGTTGATATATTTCATCCTCATAATCTTCGTGTCACTATCCAGGTCAATGGTCAACACATATGTCACATTCCTTGCTCTTGTCTTGGGCCTCTGTCGATAGCCATAGGTGAGATTCATCACTTCCTGATACTTTGTCAAAATCAGATCATTATGGTGACATATTTTTGTTGCGAGCCATTAATGAGTGAACTTTGACACAGCAACACAGAGTGGGGGACATGAATAATCCTCCCACGTTTAAGATAAATCTTGAAAACCAAACAATAAGGGAGGGCTACTGGCCGAGGACCAAGCTCTCTCTTTTTCTGAAGAAACAAATCTAAAACATGTCTGTGTTTTTCAGTAAGGCAGGAGCAGTCTGTTTGCAGAGCTATAAAGTAATGTCACCCCTACTGCTGTCTGTGATGATACAATAACTTAATGTTACTCCATTCAGATGTAGCTATAAACTTTAAGGGCACAATCATAAGATTTTATAAGCTGTGATAAATCTATTTGGTGTTTGATTTACTGTAATGTAATGATTAGAGCTAGTTAAACAGGCATTAATTGCTATTTACAGATCACCAATTAATTGCCAAGATTACATTTAGAAAAACAAATGTTACATGACTTATAAACAGTGGTGTAAAGTACAATACCACAAGTTTCATTTTGTATATATTTGACTTTTTTTGTATTGCTCCTTTAACTTACATACAAAAATGCTTATTTTCTCTGCATACACCTTTACAGATTCAGTGAGGGCGTTTGACAGCTGCATACATAATATCAGCCAACAGCTTTAAGTCATTCCTAGATGTCGTACATATCCACCCTTATGCTTCATTTACTTTCAGAGCATTTGCACGGTTCATTTCAAGTAGAAACCTTTTTGGACGAAACACTGTTTCCCAACACTTCTTCTTGGTAACTGTGGTCTCCAGAGTGCAACTGCACACTTATTGCTCCACATTCTGTTATCGCTTGTGTCGTCATATGGACGAGGAGTGAAACAAACCTGCCAGCTATTGTAGTCCTGCTTGTATGTGTGAGTTCATCAGTGAACACACCCCTTTGTTTGACAGTCTTTGAGTTTGCACACTGCATTATTCCTCAACATGTTGCCTTCATTTACTGAGTGACCAAAAGTAAAAGCCAGCTTTATCACAGTTTCTGGTAAAGGATGATGATATAACATGATTTGATCAAATGGATGCATGCCCAACCATGCTGATAATGAAACTCTGGTCTCTGATTATCTTGATAAGTATTTGTTTACTGGTAAACAACGGCCTGCTGTGATCTAATGTCGTGTTGTTTTGTTCCTACCTTTCAGGTCAAAGATAGAAGTGAAAGAAAAGTGAGTACAGCCTTTTTTCTACAAGGAGATTGTTGTTTTTTCCGGGGGAAACAATGGGAACTAGAGATTTGATCTTATTCCGGTTTTGCTCTGCAAACAAACTCTCTCTCTTGTTTGTCTGAAGCTCACTGCCTAAAGCCTTACTGACATTATGCCATGTGCTCTCTCTCATAGAGACGCTCCAAAACACATCTCAACAATATTATTTAATAAAACTACATCATGCTGAGATTAGCATGTAGCCTTTAGGTGTTAAACACGGGGAATACCAGCCCAATCTATTCAGGTAAATGAGTGACACTTGATGGGGTTATTGTCCTCTCTATGACTGTCCTTTACACCTTTCTCCCTTTTCTATCTCATCTTCACATTCCTCTTCTCTTCTTAACTGTTTACATCCCACTAAACTCCTGTTACTGGTTGCTCTGATATAGATAACAGTGTTTTTGAAGACCAGTTAAACTTGTGCAAAGTGCCACTAAAAGTCTTCAATCGTCCTTCTGCAAAAAGTCGTTAATATCTTTCGGTTGCAGGGCGGTTATTGGTTGGAGATTTGGGTTTGATGTCAGTTGTATGTCATATAGATAAGGGCTAGTTTTGAGACCTCCTCTTTAACCTTGTCTTAACTGTTTACAAGTCCGGCTTCAGAGGCGTGCGTCTACAAAGGTCTTAGGGTCATTCAACTTCCGTTTCCGATGCTTCCGATTCTTGTTTAGTCATAATGTTAACAGCAGTGACAGGTCTCTGGAGGTTTTTTAGGGAAGACATCCTGCTGAGGTTATGAAACTTGTAAACTGTCATCGTTGATGGTGAACAATTTAAAGGGGAAAATCCTACATACGTATACAGCATTATCTTGTGCACGCCTATTCAACGCACCATAGTAGTCATCCAGTTCCAGCTGTGCCTGAATAGCATCATTGGACTGAGTGTCCTAACCTCTCATAAAGCTCAATCATTAAGTCAAATCTTTTAGGTTTTGACTAAATACCAGAAAACTAACGACATTTCCATCAGCCTCAGCTGCAATGTGTTTAATACTAATAAGCATATGTTAGTTGCTAACATGCTGATCTAAGATGGTAATATCTTACCTGCTAAACATTAACATGTTAGCATTGTGAACATTTTACTATGCTGACGTAATCATTATTCATTTCTACCATATATCAAGCAGCCGGTTCTATTTGCCCGCAAACATGAACATCTAAGACTTCCTCAGACTGAGCCAAGTACTTTAATGACGTGTCCAGCAGTTAATGATGTGTTCCAGAAGAAGAAGACCAGTCTGTGGCAATTTTAGATATAAACTTTTATCTATGAGAAAACAAATATATATCCAGCTTGCACCTGTGAAAGTCCAGGTGTGTTTAACAAGCTGGTTTTCATTGTGCTGTAGTCGGAAAAAAGTAGAAACAGCCATAAAGAGTTGACCCAGATAGAGGTTTCCAAGTTCATTGTCCTTAATCCATTTGGGAAATGTCCGTAAAGCCAACTAAGCCAGACCTTCTCAAACTGGTAATCGCTTAAACCCATTGTAGCCTTTTGCTAAAAATAACAAAAACATTTAACCCAAGATGGAACAGTTGATATCCATCATATTCATAAACAACAGGAAGCGTAGAAACCACCCACATTAACATAACTATCAAACTATACTATTTTGATTGTTTGGATATTTGATTTAATGCAATTATCACTGTAGGCCTTTTCTGGACACATCAGTCCCTCTCCCTTCTGTCTCTCAGCCATCTCTCTGCGTTGTTTTCCTCTTTCTCTTCCAGAAAACCCCGGAAAGGGAAGGGTAAAGGCCAAAAGAGAAAACGAAAGAAAAACCGCGACAAAACAATTCACGATGCGTACGTCAGCTCTGCCTTCTCCACCTACCTGCACCTGAGTGTTGCACTTCTCATAGTTAAGCTCATTTGGGAGGAGCTCATTTGCCCCATTTAATTTGCACCAATAGCCACACCAATTAGCATGTTGCTTCTGTGTAATGTCCTAACTTTGTCTCATCAGTCATGTTCTACACCCTCAGAGTATCAGTGTCTAAACTGCCCTGATTGCTAACCTGTTTTGCTAACGTAGCTTTAGCAAAACTTTACATAACACAGATAACCAAGGAAGTACAGCAGACTTGCCATATCCTACACCACAAGTAATGAAGCATAACCCATCTCCATTCGTCAAAATACCTATGTAATCTCCTCCCAACCTTACCAGCTCTCGTTTGAAAGAATATCTTTGGGTGAGAGTGTGGCGATGGTTGGGATGAGATACAGCGGCGTATCAGTGAAAAGGATAGAAGGTTGAGTAATTCCTAACATCTTGCCAGATAGCCAGTTTTCTGATTGATAATGGACACGTTTAAAGAGGGTGGAATAAACAGATCGGCCGCTGGCTGTAACATGAACTCTCTACTGAAACAAGATCACAGCTCCACCATCATAGCTTTTCAGACCAGTTTGTACTGTTCTGGTATCTAAGCTGGGATCGCCAGGATTGTAATCACGGTCTTGTGTTCGGTGTTGAGTCTGTGCGGCTTTGCTGTGTCTCGAACCTGTCTCCTTTTCACTCTTTGTTCTTTTCATCTTTACAAACAGGTTTTGCCGTCCTGTGCATAATGCTGGTCCTTTTTATGTAATGTTAAGATATGAGTGATGGCTATCTATTGCCTTTTTTTGCTTTTCTGTTTTTGCTAGGAGGATATGTAAACAAGCAAATTGTTTGACAAGCACTGTTTTGTATCTTGGTTTGTCTACTTTTGTCTCTGAAACTATACAAACACACCCATATAATATACAACAATAATATAAAGATGATCTAATTTGTTCTTCATGCTCATACTGTGAAAGAGTACCTTTTATTTGTGAAAAATTGTATTTTGAGATGTAATTGGAGTTTCTGAGCCTTCATCTGTTCTGAATCTAATGTCTCTGTACATAGTCTGTACTTTTCACTCAATAAAATGATATATTTCTTAATGGAGCCCCAAGCAGACCCTTGAGTCTTCTTTATCAAGAGTTTACCTTTTGTGAGAGTGAGAGCAAGATCATCGACCCGCAGTTCAAAGCCAATAAGTGTCGTTTCGTGTTGCATGAACCAGTTTTGTTCAATGCATGTCTATCACATTCATGGGATTTATGAGCGGTCCAATCAACACGGGAGGGTTTAGGGTGCGTGAGGGAGGGTCATTTTACTGCTTGAGTATTTGCCTGCTCTGTGGGAACCTGTGTGCAATACAACCCAACTGTCACATGTAGTACAACTTGTCAGCTTGGCTTAGAAGAGCAAGCTGGAGCGTATAACCCGGCTGACCTAAGGGCGACCTTTCTTATGGGTGGTAATCATACCCTGTGATAATAATCTCTCTCCCTCTTTCTTCCCATCTCTGTATGTCTCTTCCCGTCCAGTCTTTGTGAGCCATGTTGTGAGCACTGCTCAGAGAGGAGAAAGCGTTTGTTCGTGCAGGATCCCACTACCTGCCGATGCTCCTGCAAACATACAGACGAATACTGTAAAGAACGCCAGCTAGAGCTCAACGAGAGGACCTGCAAGTAAGTGCTGTGTTGGTTTCATGACCAGTGTGTAGGGTTCAGGGGGAGAGGGTCATCTTTCACAGAGTTGGCCATGTTGAAGGAAAAAACAAACACTGATTCTAGGAAGGGCCTTTTTCATTTACCTACACCCTACAGTACATGCTCGGAAAAAGACGGTCACGTTGAGCGAATCTTTTTTCCTGGAACTATCAGAATCTCTTTACACAGAGGGGACACATGTTTATGTATAAAAGACATTTTGCATAATAGGTGACCTTTAATTTGGTTCTAATAAACACTTGAGGTCGCTCATAGTGATGATCCCAAAGAGAATATAAACTTGACTTCCAACTTAACGGTTACTAATAGCTCTACGAAGCCCTATAGGATCATTTCATAAATAGTTTCTGGTTTTACAGCCCATAACATTTACAGTTGTGGTTGACTCATAAGGCACTCATTAGTGTCATTAACCTTCTGTTAAACCCTCTGTACTCTACTTGCCAAGCACTTAATGGACTTCTAAGTGAGCGACTAGCTTACAGTGGAGCATTTAGAAAACATTTATCAAATGGACTCAAAAATGAACCCAAATCAATAGTAATGTTGCTGTGTAAATAATTACATTATAATATCTACATTGAAAGTTGATAATATATCAATGTTGTGTTTAAAGATTATTTCTTCTGCCCCCCAAGAGGCCTACAAAGTAATTGCAGGGATACAGTAGGTGACCAAGGTACACAATCAAGCAGAATATTATGGCAGCTAGCATTGTGACTTTGGTAGATATACGAATAAATAGTTTATGTATATTGAGAAAACGACCGAAGAACACTCCCATCTACAGCCTGTTTTTTTTTTTCTTGTTCGAATAACTGTATATGTTTTCCTTCTTGTTTAGATGTGACAAGCCTCGGAGATGAGAGAGGCGGCAGCACCAGATGTACAAGATGAAGGAATATTCTAGAGATATTTCACAGCACAGCACTTTGACCTTTGAACCGTAAGCTCTTCTTTTCTGTGGAAAGCATTCCCCTTGGACAGACAGAGAGAACAATACAGAAAGTCTGAACTGAAGTTCCCTCCCACTGTTTATCTTTGTGTGTATATAGACCATGATAAAAGTAAAAAAAAGTAGAGAATTGTTATGCTGCTACAGAAAAAATAAATACTAAACCAATCATTTTACAAAAAGCAAATAGCCGCCATGTGGTTTTGCATTTCTAACAGGCTTGCTATGCAGGTGTAGTCTTGTTGTCAATTAATTGTATGCAATTACTTCACTGGATATGAGTCTCTACTGTGGTTGTGTGTCAATCATAAAATTGCAAAACCTCTCAATCTAAGATATATTTAACTGCTAAAAGGTGAAGCTGAAGAGGACATGGGAGCGCACTCTCTAAGAATAATGGATGGATTTCATCGGACAATATCTACTTTTGCTTTTGGAGTGAAAAACAGCAGGACAAACCAGGACTGTTGAACAATGCAGGACAGACACAATGTCACCATTGTGATCAGCTTGCAGGAGAAGAAACTCTGGAGTGCCATTTACGAGTAAAGGGATACCGGTTATCAATATAGCATCTAATGTTTTGCTATGTCCTACATGAAAACCACTGAAAATATCCTATACTGTAGTTTGATTCCATTTGAAAAACTGTGCCTCACACAATTTACTGAGAAATCTTTTCGAGTGCTTTTTAAATTATTTTTTTGTGTCCTTGTTTCAGGAGGGGTTGTCAAGGTAGTTTTGTTAGTTGTTCAATACGGAAACCTTTGATTATATATCTCTTCTCTGAACCTGTACATACTTACTATCTCCTTATGCCATAGTCCATTTTAGATAATTTATAATGTTATAGAGTATGTTTCAGTATTCAGTCTTCTACCCATATTTAATTTGGTCTATTTATATATGCAGTGTTATGTACCTATGGCTGTCATATTTCCCCCTATGTGTAAGGTCACTGATGGCTTCTCTCAGCATGGACTCTCTGTGCTTTTCTACAAAAAAACACAAAAAAATCGAACTGATTTGTTAACATTCCCTAAATATATCATTTGTACTGGTGTACTGATGACATCTCTGGATTTTTCAAGCCCTCTTATCTAAGGGTGTGGGTGCTGTGTAGGATTTCAACATGTGTGTATCTGTGTGTACGTGTGTGTGTATGTGTGTTAATGTGCATTTGTCAATGGGCACATCTGTGTGTAAGTAAGTTGTATTAAGGTATTTAAGTAAGTAGCGGACTTGTGTTTTGTCCGTCCTGCAAGATGCAAAAACAAATAAACTACTGCTAGCAGCTCATCATACACTACACCACCACCACCGTTTGAAATTTGGATAACAATCTGCATCATTTCTGCCATCAGTCCTAGAGCCCTTATTAGTTCTCTTTGTCTCTCCATTACTATTAACATGTTTTCTGTGTCTATGTAAAACAGTAAAGCATATTTATTTTCAAATTATATTGTTTTTATATAAAATAAGCAAAAGGTTGCTGTGTTGTGAATGCTCTGTTTTCAAGATGTTTAATAGCATCAAGAGTTTTCCATGTTTTTGTGCGGCAAGCTGATACTCGCAGATCTAATGAGGAAGACAATAGAACTGACAATAAGACATTCCTGCACGCTTTTAATGACAGACAGAAATCCAGCCTTATGAATAAAATGGCACTATGAAGCAGTGTGCTGTAATGTCACCTGTTAAATCTAACCATAGACAACCATTTGCATTCAGGGAAATGTCCTCTGGGAACTGATGTTATCACTAACATCAACATAATCCAGGAAAGGAAAAAGGTAACTATCCAGTAGAATAGCGACAACAGAAGTAGTTAGAAATATCGTTTTGAGTTGGATTTGGTTCGTTTCAATAGTTAATTGAAAAAGGATTAATGAAAACCAACTTTAACTAATCTTTTTTACTGAATCATTGGATTGAAACCAAATGTTTGAACAGTTATGCTTTTGTTAACGTAAAATATCAATAGACTCAAGTTACGGCGTGAAAATACATGCAAAAGCACATTTCTAATAGATGACATTGTGAAATGAAAAGGGTGATTTTAATGTATACCTCACAACCTAACAAACTTATGAAGAAAATGGTTGAAACAAGTTTTGGATGACAACAAAGGTAACTGTCAGATAAATTACTTCTGTGCAAGGCCAACGTCTACTTGCAAAAACGGCAGCTTCCCCTTTTGGAGTGAATGGAAAATTCTGGTTAGACTGCAGCATATGGCTTATACTCTATTGGTAACTTTTCCATAAATCCAAGATCCTTTTTAAGAAATCATAAAGAATACCTCGAACATGTTTCTAACTTTGGTACATGGGCTGCATGGCCTGAAACCTCACTAGGTTTGCTTAAGAGCCGTTATAGCTGGTACATAATGGGATTATTGACTTGTTCAGTGACACTGCAGCAGTAGCTGAGCTCCAGGCCCCTGGACCAAATCTAATACCTATGAATGTAGATTAAGTGGAGGTTTTTTAGTTCTTGGGCCATGTTTGTTTTGAAACTCGCTCCTTCTTATCCCCATTGCTTGCTACTTGCCATTGGATTAGCTCCTGCATGACGCTAATGCTCTGCTCTGCTGTGCTCTCCCTGACTCAGGCTCTTTATGTGCATACCTAAATATAAAGCACACCATATAATCCCTAGAAATTGTGGGGCCCCCTTTACTGGGCGAAACACCCCAAAGAATGTCATAAACCGTCTGATCTATGATTTACCCGGAACTCCAAAAGTAAGCTAGCAGCCTGTCTAGTCTGTAAACTGAACTGTTTTAATTTTAAAATCAGTTTGACAATGGTGTGGACATGTATGAGGGGCCGTACAGGCCGTAATTCATACTGGTCCTCTCACGCACATACATTCTCCTTTTACATACATATATTTTCACTCTTACATACATACATTCTCCTTTTACATACATACATTTTCACTCTTACATACATACATTCTCCTTTTACATACATATATTTTCATTCTTACATACATACATTCTCCTTTTACATACATATATTTTCACTCTTAAATACATACATTCTCCTTTTACATACATATATTTTATAATATATGCATGTCTGAAGAGAATATATGTATGCAAGAGAAGAATGTATGTATGTGTGAAGACAATATATGTATGTGAGAGAAGAATGTATGTATGTGTGAAGACAATATATGTATGTGAGAGAAGAATGTATGTATGTGTGAGAGAAAGTATAGTGGAAACGGAAGGAGTATGGTTGAAACGGAAGGCAGGTCATTCTTGCGCTGTGATTGGCTCAGAAGGTCGAGCGGGGCGGGCTCATGTTCAGAACTTCTGATTCAAATCAACATGATGGAGGGAGAGGGTTAGGGTTAGATGACTCCGTGTATCTACGGACCACTTGTTTTTCTTTATTAAACAAGTAAACGGAAGAGTGTCTGCGAGGCGTTTTTGTTTTTTACCTTACTAAATGGTCTAATGGTCATTGTAGCGAGGGGGGGGGGGGGCGCGATACTCGCGGAAGTGATTTCAAAACAAAAGCACTCGTTTGCTTGGAACGTTGAACATAATTATAAACAAGGGGAAACAAGGTGAATTTAGCGATCACAATGAAAACGGCCAAGACACACATTGAGCCCAGAAAATGAATGTTATTAAGGCTGTAAATATAATAAGCATGTGTCTAAAATGGACAACATTGTTAGGAGATTTAAACTATACAGCGATTCTGCACTGCGGTCACTCAGCCGTCTCTCGCGTTTGTCTTTTCAAATCAGCTGCTCTTTATATTTTACAAATATTTTTTACTGAAAGTTCTTAACACAACTGACACTGTTGGACTCGAATTGAGAAGAATAAATGGACAACATTGTTAGGAGATTTAAACTATACAGAGAGCCGTTTTTTCAAATCAGTAGCTCTTCATTTTCTTTTTACAAATATATTTTACCACAAGTTCTTCATAAAACTGACACTGTTGGACTCGGTACTAGTTTGACTGCTACTAACAATACATTGAAGTACTTTTACTGTGTACTTTGTGAGAAATACTCTGTCAAAGTCCCCTCCATATAGCACATAATCCAATGCATCAGTCCGTCCCAGGAGGGAGTTTATAAACCAAAGAGTAACCGCCCTTACGGCACGCTCTGATAAGTAAAGCGAACGCACCCGCAAGGACACCTGGCCAGGGATGTGACAGTTTCAGGGGTTGACAAAATGTTCCTTAAAACCCCTAATGCTTGCTGCAATCTACGCGATTCATCTCCCTCCATCATGTTATGTTGATTTGAAATCAGAAGTTCTGAACATGAGCCCGCCCCGCTCGACCTTCTGAGCCAATCACAGCGCAAGAATGACCTGCCTTCCGTTTCAACCATACTCCTTCCGTTTCCACTATACTTTCTCTCTCACATACATACATTCTTCTCTCACATACATATATTGTCTTCACACATACATACATTCTTCTCTTGCATACATATATTCCCTTCAGACATGCATATTATACAATATATGTATGTAAAAGGAGAATGTATGTAAGAGTGAAAATATATGTATGTAAAAGGAGAATGTATGTATGTAAGAGTGAAAATATATGTATGTAAAAGGAGAATGTATGTATGTAAGAGTGAAAATATATGTATGTAAAAGGAGAATGTATGTATGTAAGAGTGAAAATATATGTATGTAAAAGGAGAATGTATGTGCGTGAGAGGACCAGTATGAATTATGGCCTGTACGGCCCCTCATAGACATGTAAGAAGCATCAGTGGGAACAACTTTTAAGTGTCATACCAAAAAATTATAATTATTTCGATAAAGAGGCTTTAAGACGTAGAATATATCATTTTAGTTAAGCAATTAAAAAAATTATCTAACATCGAAAACCCCTTGTTCAAAAGAAAACTCCTAAAAATGACTGGATTTTCACAACCTTTAAAGGGTTGTTATTTATCTAATGTATAAACACACAATGTGATTCCTCAGCTCAGTTGAGTGTTTTTACGGGGAAACTAAGAAGAACAAACATTTTTATTTTATAAAATCCTTAAAACATGTTCTGACCCTTTAGGAGTATTCACCAGGGATTTATTAACCTGTGGCAAGCAGTATAACAACTCGGTTTGTGGGTGTGTAATTTGTGTAAAGGCTGCTTCCCTTTCCTTTCAATTCTAATTTAAAAGAGCCTAACCACTCCGTTGTTTTCACTTGCGGTAGATTATAAAGAGAATATGGTGGGAAACCGTGATTCAAGACTTACCTGAGTTCTTATCTGGAAAAAGTTTCATTGAAAAGAGTTGAATGTAATCTGCTCACGTGCCATTTGCCGATGATGCAATGCTGCATAATGAGAGTGACTAAAACAACTTGGAAACCACTGGATAGCGATACCGCCGATCTTGTCATCATGTCACCACAACATACATTTTAAAGTAGCATTTGACAACTTTCCCCCCTAGCGTTACATAGTGTTCTCATTTTTGGTGCCACTTTCGGCGGGCACAGTCAAGACATTCAAAATGGTGGGTCTTGCTCGTCTTCTGAAGGCACACCTGTACGATGATTACCAAAATGGCGAAATATGCTACCAACGGCAATAAACGTACAGAACAAATACTTTTTCCTTTCCTCTAAAATACCTTGTGAGTTCCCAAATACGGTTATAATACTGTGTTGTTTCCTCTTCCTTAAACATTTCTGTTTGTTACTATCTTGTTCCGCTGTGCCTACATCCATGTTTGTTTAGGTCCAACACACAATTTTCTTCTCCAACTCTTACAAAGCATACAGTATTTGGCTCTTTAGTTGCTAAATCCACTAAAACCGTAAAGTAAAATCACGTACCTTTATTGTTAATACGATAATACTAACAGAAGCCACTTTAAAATAGAAAACAATAAAGAACTACCATAAAATAGTTAAAAAAACAGAACGTTTTTACAAAACTCCTTTGTAATTGCGACCTTTTTCTGGCCAAATCAGTTTGCATGTTGTTTTCCATGCCGCACCCAAGATGTGTCTCGCCACAAGACTAGTCAAGTCCATTTTAATTGATATGGTGTTAAAGGATCTCATGACAATTTTCAAATAAAGCAGGTCTAGACTGTACATTTTAAATAACAGGTAACATTCTCTCAGAGAGAAAAAGTTAGTAAAGACAGAGATGCACAACAACCTCCCTAAGATTAACAACTATAATATAATAAATTTGGGTTAACTTATAATAACGGTAGCAGCAGCAATGTTACTGTCAGGGTTGAGAGAGGCAAGCAGGACCCAAATGCAGATTAACAGAAAATACCTTTATTTCAAGGTTTAAAGACAGAACTCTTCCCAGTGAACACAGTCCAACAACAACAAGGAACTAACAAAGACTAACAGAAAACACAGAACCTAAATGCACACATGACTAATCAAACAAACAAGAGACAGGTGAGGAGGGAGGACAAAACACAGGGGCACCAGGTGAACACAATCGGGTAATCAGGGAGGGAAA